AGTGATAGGCTATTGGTTATAACCTGATTATATATAAATAAAAAAATCTAATATGCTGATGATTTAAGAAATTATATTACATATCGGCTTAGTTAATATATAACATCTTTAAATAATCAGCTAGATAATATTTGAGAATAAAAAGTTAATATATAATATCTTCAAATAATTAGTCTAGGTGATATAAGGATGATAGACTGTGGATTATAAACTGATTAAATAAAGATAAAAAGCTAATATGAGTATCGCCAAGAGAAGACCTGTCTTCGGGCTCTCAATTATATTTTGTACCGTGCACAAACTATTTAATTTATTATGGAATATGCCCAGACAAGAAAGCCCGAAAGCAGGTTTTCTCTTGACAGTTTGGCTATTGTTATAAATATGAATTGGTGTTAAAAAGATAAAAGAAGACAATCGTTCAAAAATAGAATAGTTCTAATAGAGTAAGTATTTATGTTCTTAATTGAAAAATCGAATTGCTGAATTTAATTATATTGATTAATGATCTTTATATGTATGAGCTGGGAAAATAATTAATGTGAATGAAAAGATTTGAAGAACATCGTGTAGTGGTAAATAAGTATTTATGTTTTGTTTTGTGAACTTTATTTGCTGATTTAAATAAGTATTCTATGTTTTTGGTTTGTGAACTTATTCAGTATTTGCTGATTCTACCTTCACCAATCTTTATACTCATAGATGCAATGATAAATAAGTATTCATGTTCTTGGTTTGTAAACTTATTCAGTATTTGCTGATTCTTTGCCAAATCTTTATATTTGTAAGTACAATGGCAATTATAAGTATTTATGTTCTTAATATTTACAAGACAAATATATATGATCTGGCTATGATGAAGTCTGTGTTAGGATACCATATATTGCTGAAAATAAGCCACCTCTGAAAATAAGCTACCCCTTTTTTCTTGGAGAAGAAACATAAGAAAATTTGTTATTCCGAAAATAAGCTACCCCTGATAATTTCTTAAAATCTGGAAGTAGTCTCTATATATAAAAGTCAAAAATCTATTAGTAAATCGATAAAGGTCACTTAATAGCGGTTGTTCAGGACATAAAAATATACATATTCTGAAAGTTTGAAGCAAATCGGAGAGCTTTTTACTAAGATGTTTTTGCATTTTACGTTCAAAAGTAAAATGCAAAAACATCTTAGTAAAAAATTCTCTGATTTGCTTCAAACTTTTAGGATATGTATAGTTTTACGTCATGAACAATCGCTATTAAGTGACCTTTATCGATTTACTAATAGATTTTTGACTTTTATATATAGAGACTACTTCCAAATTTTAAAAAAATAATAAAAATCAACCTTTTTGAAACTTTACCTGAAAATAAGCTACCCCCATGATTTTTGTGTCACTTTTTTGGCCAAAAAAGATAGCTTATTTTTGGCAATATACGGTAAGGATTAGAGTGAATATTAGAATAAAAGTTAGTAGAATGTGTATTAGAGTAAGGGTAGAGTTAAGGTGAAATTTTTTTTTTTTTTTTTTTTTTATTAATATAATATCATAGTAGAAACTTTATTACAGTCAGTCCGAAGATTGAAAGTTATCTTATAGTCTACAAATCCAGGTAAGGGGACAGATAAGCTATTTATTTATAACCTGGCTGCCAAAACCCTTCAACTTGAACTAGCAGATTTTAAGAAGGTTAATTAGAAAAGAAATTTCTATGGTTAAAGATTTCTAATTACACTTGTGCTACAGAGTACCCAATGTGACATTACACCTCCTATTTCTTATTTTAGTGCTATTATTAGTTTAAATAAATAAAATAAGTCTAGCTAGGATAGGTTGGAGAAAACCCTATATATATAAGTTATAATAGTGTCTTTAAGGTCTTAAATTTCTTTATATATATATATATATTTCAAAATTAGTGTTTTCTTTTTTATTTTCTGTTTTTTTCTTTTTCTGGTTGTTTTCATAATTTTTTTGTTAAAATTTCTTTCTTTGTCTCATATATTTTAAGAAGAAGAAAGAATTAGAAGGAAAAAAAAAGATCCTGATACAGTATATAACAACTTGTCAAATGATTAAGAAAGATATTCTTTGTACAATACAAAATATGAATTCTGAGAAAGTTATAGCAGTGTATTGAGCAGTACTTAGTATACTTGGTAAGTTTTTATTAGCCTATTAACTTTGTTTTTTAGTTAATATGTAAAAAAAAATCTATAACTCTAACCCTAACCCTAGAATTGTATTTTGTTATATAGTAGCTCAAACAGTAGTTTATATAAATAAAAGCAGAATCACATTATAATATTTTACACAATGAAGATCTAGAAACATATATTTGTTATGGCTATAAGATCCAAAATTAAATGTGAAGCTCCTTAATTACTTTTAAATCTAATAAATAAATGTTTAAATACTCAGAACTTTGAAACAGACCAACTGCTAGAGAATTAGTTAATATATTATATTAATTTTTTATAATTTAAAAATAAAGAAACTGAATTATATAAGCAAGTTAAAAATATTAAAGACTTCAACAAAAATTTTTTCAAGTCAAATCAATATAATTCAAATATCAAACATATCTACAAGCTATTTATTTAGGTTAATTTTTAAATATTTCAAAACTCCTTAAACTACTTTACAGAAACTAGCTATTTTTTTTCAATAGAGTTAAGATCATCTTAATAATATTAATAAATTTTTTAATAATTATAAGATTATTTTATAATAAATTTTTAATATAAAAATTTTAAAATTGTTCTAAAATGCTTTCAGAATGGAAACCCTACCTTCTTGCATAGAAAAAAGCAAATGAGAGAGTTTTCTTTCATACAAATTGGCCTTGGAGTATTGAAAACCTCTCTCTAGGGGGAATTAAAGGAGACGAAGTTATAGTTAAAAAGATAACTGAACTACTCGGAGGGGACCTAATGTCTAGTGAAGTTAATCAGTCACTGTTTTCAAACTCAGCACCGAACTGGATACTTCTTAAAGGAGTTGACAACAAGAAAAGAGACATCTTTTGGTGTCTCGCACATAGAGCTTTACCACTAGATTATAGACTTCAACATATTTCTGCCCAGGAATCAGGCTTCTGCCCATAGTGTGAAGATGACCAACAAACAATTGAACACTTTGTAACGGATTGCAGAATCAGCAAGAAGATATGGACAGAAGCTTACAAACTGATCAATATAAGATGAAAACCAAGTATCTCATCCTCTTTGGAGAAAATCTTTACTGCAAAAAACTTCAGTGAGCAGAACCACCTTAACACAGCAATATGGATTCACATAATCACAATATATGAAATTTGGTGTTGGTACACAAATGCCAAATGGAGCAATGCAGATAATGTAGAAGCATCAATTCCCTCAATTATTAGTGCTTGAATTCAAAAAGAAATTCGAGCTCTAAATTTAAACTCCCGGTTAGGTTCTGTAAATAGGAAAATTTGTAAATATCTTAGTAATGTTAATTAATATTTAATACATAAAAATTTAATAAAGAACCCCACATGCCATTTAGGCAATCTGGGATAGTCAAAAAAAAAAAATTGTTCTAAAATTATTTTAAGACTATTATTTAAGAATAAATCTAACTATAACCAGTGGTGATCATTACTGAGGTAAGGGGTGTGCCATTTATCACATGATTTTTACTATGGATATATGGGTCAGAAAAATGATCATGTCTATATATATAATATATATATATCAAATATAGTATATATTTATAAAAGGTGTGGCAACTTAGTGTAGTAGTCTAGTTGTTACCCTCTTCAAGCGGCAGGTCTAAAGTTCAATAATGATTTTGAAAAATAGATCTGTGTTACAGTTAATGATTGTCAATTGTCGGTTGGATCTAGAACTAAATCTGTAATCTTGGTTACACCATCTAGTAATTGGAGCTTTGGTTTTTGCCAGTTTGTTGTTAAGATCATTTAGTTTTTTATGTAATCTTTGTATTTTTTTCTCTGGTAGTGAGTCAGGTTTGTAGGCTCTAATTATTGATTGTATTGTACACTTATGTAGATCTCATTCCTCAACATTGTGAATATTCTTGATTTTCTCAATTAACTCGTTTCTAAGCTCTGTCACGGCCTAATATTTTCTGTCAAATCTTCAGTATGCTGTTGGTCTGTGTTTAACTTCACTTGAAATTGTGCTTTTCACTAGTAGATAGTCCAAATTACCAAATCGGGTTTGAGTTTTAAGGTTCAGATGGCCATAATTGGTATTCACAAAAATGTAATTCAGTTAGGTGGTTATTTTTTGGTTACTGTATATGCTTTGGTAAAAAGTGAAAAGCTTGCTATATTTACAAAATTTGTCTCTTTGATTTGCATTTGGCTAATCTGATCTACTTTGAGGTCTAGATTGGTATTGAAATCCTCTACTATGATGCTTAGAGCATTGTTGCTTGTTATGGATGTCTAGTTATTAAAGAATTGGTATCTATCCCTTGATTAAGGGGAGCATATATGTTTGTGACTATATATTTACAATATTTAAATATAAACTCAGCCAAAATTACTCAATCATTGTGCAAAATTTCTTTTTTAGTGAACTTAATGTTCGGCTTTCCTGCCAAGATTGCTGTTTTAGAGGTTCAAATTGTTTCATAACTCATTGTTGTGAAAGAAACTTCTTTGTTAAGGTGTCATTTAAGTTTGTTTTTTGTAACAATATTAGATCTATTTTGTATAATTTTAGTAACATTAAAGTCTTTTGGGCCTTTGCTTTGTTATTAAGACCCTTAACATTTAGTATGGCAATTTTGATCATAGTTAGTGCGAGTATATAAGGGGCCACACTCTGTGTGTAGAGGCCTTATATGTTGCACCCTGATTTTGCTCTATTGGTTTTAGCCTTTATAACAAGATCTCCTCTTCTGCTTTTGTTCTTGTTTTTGTTTTTTCCTTTTTTTGAGGCAACTAGTATAAATTCTGTTTCCTCTATTTTATATTCTTTATTGTCAGATTTGAGGTTATCTCTTGTAACTGTATCAATTATCCTATTTGCTGTTTCCAGTACTGTGGCCTTTTGATTTTTGGCCTCAACTTGGGAGTTACTTCTGAGATGTTATTTGAAGTGCTCTGTTTAGACAGTTCAGATACTGCTGTTGGAGCCTTCTTAGTTATAACTTGCTGAGCTGTCACTTGCATCTACTTAATATCTTCTGTAATCATATTCGAAATATAGAGATTTTCTGAGTTGAAGTTTATTTGTGTTTTAACTTTGCTTTCTTTCTGATCTTTAGTTTTAGCTTCTCTTTGTTGTCTATATTCTTTCATTTTTTGTCTGAACTCTATGGAGGCTACAGTTCTTTTTGATGTAACCTGTTTTCTCGCAGTAGTAACACACCTTGGGGGCTTCTTTCTAGTCAGTTGCAACCTTATGTTTTCCTACATGAGTGTGTTTGGGCAGCCTATGTACCAACTCTGGGTTATCTGTACTGACAGAAATATATATATTTGAAGTTTACAGGAATATACATCAGCAAAAAAAAATATATGTAAAACTCCGTAAGTTTTTACACGAGTGTAAACTTACGAAAAACTTACGATTAGTTCGGAGTATTACGTAGGGGTAATAATTACGAAAGTTTACGCTATCTCTTAATATGTAGACCAACGCAGGCAAATTTGCCTGCGTTTTTGCACTTTTTTAGCTCTGATTTACTTTTTTAAAATG